CTTGAATTGAATTGAATTGAAACAGTCTATTTAGCCAGAAAAACACAGATACAGAATGGATAATAATAACAATATTAACATGGCTGAGCCAGTTGAGAACCTGAGCTCTACTGTAGGCACCTGATATATACTGTACAATACATTTATCTCAAGGATGTATTATGTAACATTTAGTAACATCTGGAATTGTATAATAGCATGGTGGTAATAAGAACATCTCATTGCAAGAAATATTAATACTTAGACTGTCTAAGTATTAATATTTCTTGCACTGAGTTATGTATTGTCTAAGTTAGACAATAGATATTTTTTAAGAGATGATTTAAAGGAAGGGAGCGAAGTCTAAGATTATGTTTGGTTAGATTGGTTTTGGTTGATTAGGTTGGATTTACTTGCATTAGGTTACATAAGCGTCTTTTCTTGTGTAAGAAGCAATTGAGAGCCGTAAAAATAAAGTTAATGACATGGTTTTTTCGTGACGAGGCAGTACGTGGGTCCTTCACCTATACTGCGACTTCACTCTCCGGATATTTTCCCCTGGACTTTGGAACCTAACACGAGTGTCAACAACATGACTCACCTATACTGGCGTGTTGTTATTACTTAGCGTGTTATTAATTGGCGAGTTATTAACTGGGGTTATTAGTTCGTGAGTTATTAAACACACACACACACACACACACACACACACACACAAGCCCAATTCACACCTTCACTCTCTCCAGGTATTAATCCTTTACACAGTGATTGTCAGACCTTGAAAATATTTTACATAGAAACGCCATAGTATTGATTATTACATTCTTGTATTTTGTTTCATGTTATTAGTGCTCATACAGGTGCGTGGAAGGGGTGTGACAGGTGTGTGGCAGGTGTGTGGCAGGTGGTACTTATACAGGTGTGTGACTGGTGATTATACAAGTGTGTGACAGGTGCTTATGCAGGTGTGTGACAGGTGATTATACAGGTGTGTGATAGGTGGTTATACAGGTGTGTGACAGGTGATTATACAGGTGTGTGACATGTGATTATACAGGTGTGTGACAGGTGATTATAGAAGTGTGTGGCAGGTTTGTGACAGGTGTTTATACAGGTGTGTGGCAGGTGATTATACAAGTGTGTGATAGGTGATTATACAGGTGTGTGACTGGGGATTATACAGGTGTGTGACAGGTGATTATACAGGTGTGTGACAAGTGATTATACAGGTGTGTGACAGGTGATTATACATGTGTGTGACAGGTGATTGTACAGGTGTGTGACAGGTGATTATACAGGTGTGTGACAGGTGATTATACAGGTGTGTGACAGGTGATTATACAGGTGTGTGACTGGTGATTATACAGGTGTGTGACAGGTGATTATATAGGTGTGTGACATGTGATTATACAGGTGTGTGACAGGTGATTATAGAAGTGTGTGGCAGGTTTGTGACAGGTGTTTATACAGGTGTGTGGCAGGTGATTATACAAGTGTGTGATAGGTGATTATACAGGTGTGTGACTGGGGATTATACAGGTGTGTGACAGGTGATTATACAGGTGTGTGACAGGTGATTATACAGGTGTGTGACAGGTGATTATACATGTGTGTGACAGGTGATTATACAGGTGTGTGACAGGTGATTATACAGGTGTGTGACAGGTGATTATACAGGTGTGTGACAGGTGATTATACAGGTGTGTGACAGGTGATTATACAGGTGTGTGACTGGTGATTATATAGGTACGTGACTGAGTTCATGACAGGTGCACACATCAGTTATAATAGCTATACTCAACGTTTCAGACAGCTGCACACAATGGTCATGACAGTGGCCAGATGTGTCTACAAAGTTGCTTATTTGATCTGTCATGACTAGCAAACGTCCGAGTCTCCCTCCCCTCACTTTTATTATTATTATTATTATTATTATTATTATTATTATTATTAACTATAAAGGCACAGAAATTGACTTTCATGTTTCGGTGCATTAAAACAAGAGTTAGTGAGCTTTTGTGTTTCTCTGTACAGTAACCGAGGGAGATAAACTCTCCGGTGGGTAAGTACCGCGCTTGATTCATCATGACTTAGTGACTTGTAAGGTGTTCCTGGTTGTTTGTGTTTACTGAGTTCCTGGTTTATGTTTACTGAGTTCCTGGTTGTTTGTGTTTACTGAGTTCCTGGTTGTTTGTGTTTACTGAGTTCCTGGTTGTTTGTGTTTACTGAGTTCCTGGTTGTATATGTTTACTGAGTTCCTGGTTGTTTGTGTTTACTGAGTTCCTGGTTGTTTATGTTTACTGAGTTCCTGGTTGTTTGTGTTTACTGAGTTCCTGGTTGTTTGTGTTTACTGAGTTCCTGGTTGTTTGTGTTTACTGAGTTCCTGGTTGTTTGTGTTTACTGAGTTCCTGGTTGTTTATGTTTACTGAGTTCCTGGTTGTTTATGTTTACTGAGTTCCTGGTTGTTTATGTTCACTGAGTTCCTGGTTGTTTGTATTTACTGAGTTCTAGTTGTTTTGTGTTTACTGAGTTCCTGGTTGTTTATGTTTACTGAGTGCCTGGTTGTTTGTGTTTACTAGGTTGCAATTTGTTTATGTTTACTGAGTTCACAGTTGTTTTGTGTTTACTGAGTTCCTGGTTGTTTATGTTTACTGAGTTCCTGGTTGTTTATGTTTACTGAGTTCCTGGTTGTTTATGTTTACTGAGTTCCTGGTTGTTTATGTTTACTGAGTTCCTGGTTGTTTATGTTTACTGAGTTCCTGGTTGTTTGTGTTTACTGAGTTCCTGGTTGTTTGTGTTTACTAAGTCCCTGGATGTTTGTGTTTACAGAGACCCTTTATGTACAAACTTTGCAGGTGTCCCCCCCCCTCCCTCTCTCCCTCCCTCCCTCCTTCCATCTCTCCCTCCTCACCTCCCTTCCTTCCTCCCTCCGCACTTACCTCCCTTTCTCCCTCTATATACCTTTTTACATCCTTCCCTCCCTCTCTACCTCCTTACCTGTCTACCTACCTCCTTCCTTACATAGCTTCATCCCTCTTGACAGGTGGATAACTTTTCCTCTACTGCACTCATGTAACACACACACACACACACACACACACACACACACACACCAGCTGGCGGTAGTAACGTCTAGCTGTTTTTTGTTTCCAAGTTTCGTCGTTTGTGATTAATGGAGACTGATCTCAACCCTAATCATTAGTTCCATTTGTCAAGCCTCTCCTCGAGGTCGGGTACACTGCGTTATTTTTATTACCTTATCTCTACCACAACTAAGTCAGTTAGATACGTCCCCAACATAACTACAGTAGATATGATTAGCGGTGACAACAATAACTTAGTTTTTTTTGATGTGTCTGGTTCTTGGTTGTCAGCTGGTGGTGGTAGTAGTGGTGGTGGTGATGGTGGTGGTAGTGGTGGTGGCAGTGGTAATGACGGTGGCAATGGTGGTGAACCAGCTTGCTCGAATTCGTTTACATGTTAAAGACTCGGTTCAGAGGTTCAAAGTTAGCAATAACGTTGATTCTTGGGTCCGTAATCTCACACACACACACACACACACACACACACACACACACACACACACACACATTATGACGCCTTGATAAGAAACACAATAATGTCTTATCTAATTTTATTATGTCTAATTTATCTTCTTTCTTACATATTTATCTCTAGTATTTTATGTACCATTTCGTTACGTCACCTTTATTGCCTCTTACCTTATTTCCTCGTCTTTATTTCTGGTAAGATTTTTACACCATTTTTTATCCATGTTTTTATTATTTGTTTCTCATTTTTCCTTTTAGAAGATATTATTTTCTTTCTTTCTTTCTTTCTTTCTTTCTTTCTTCTTCTTCTTCTTCTTCTTCTTCTTCTTCTTCTTCTTCTTCTTCTTCTTCTTCTTCTTCTTCTTCTTCTTCTTCTTCTTCTTCTTCTTCTTCTTCTTCTTCTTCTTCTTCTTCTTCTTCTTTCTTCCCTCTCATATCTCCTTTATCATCACCATTTCACTTTAATTCCCACTTCACTATCACTCGCCTTAATTTTTACCCATCAGACTTCCTCCCTCCGTCATTGGCACTCCTCCAGGCACTGTTCCATTCACTGCCCGCCTTAACATGAAGAACAGTTTCCGGCGGGGGAGGGGGGGGGGCACAGGTGGGCACAGCTAGTGGGTGTCTAGAGGTGTGACTAAAGCTAACCTTATTGGCACTGTAGATCTCTTGTGATCGGTTTGGCACTGTTGGCACTGTAGGTTTTTCGTGATCGGCTTGGCACTATATGTCTTGCGATCGGTTTTTGGCACTGTATATCTCTTGCGATCGGTTTTTGGCACTGTATGTCTCTCGCTACTCACAGTAACACTCATACACCCACAATGGCACTCTTACACTCACTGTGGCACTCATACGTCCACCATGGCACTCTTACACTCACTGTGGCACTCAAGAACCCACAATGGCACTCTTACACTCACTGTGGCACTCATACGTCCACCATGGCACTCTTACACACTGTGGCACTGTTAAAAGCACCATGTTACCCCGTGGAACTGTTACTAGTCCCTTGGCATTATTACAACCAAACGTCCATCTCAAGTGCGAAAGTTTGGGCGTACATCATCATATTTGCGTGAGTGGTGCGAGGTGCGATTGTATGGTGCGACAGGAAGAAGATTAAGTTTAGTGCGACAACCTGGGCGTACGTTGGCAATAAAACAAGGGTGGAAAACTTGGTGTGACAGGAAGAAAGGTTAAGTACCCGTGTCTAGTGCGACAGTCCGGGCGTGTAGTGACAAAACTGAGACGAGGTGCGACCGACAGTCCTACACTTTGAGACAGACGACCCTCATCCCCCGGCACTTCCTGCTATACACCTTCCACTTGTTCCTCAACTGGCATTGCGGGCTGGCACTGTACCGGGGGAGAGGGGGTGTGAGGGAGAGAAGGGAGTTCAGCGGTCTGTGGCAGCGAGCCACCAGGGTCAGGCCAACCCAGCCAGCCTAGTACTCGCTCGGAAGGCGACGCAAGCAGAGTGCCATTCTCGCCGCTGCCGCCACCTCGCAGTGCCCAGTGTACCGTGTTGTCTCTCCTCCGTGCCTTAAGTCAGTGCCATTGGTGCCTTGCTTTCTCTATCTATCTCTTAGCTGTCTCTCTCTCTCCCTCTATCTCTCTCTCTTTATCTATCTAAGGGAGGTTGTGTTTCAGCGAGCGAGGGAGCCCCCGGTGTGTGGTGTAGTGACTCAACTCTAGGTAGTCCTAACTTGATCTTAGTTTTTGCTCCCAAGAAAATAAGAAGAGGAATCATATATCGGCCAACAAGCTTCGTCTTTAAGGTGAGTACTTGCCTTCATCGCACTCCTCCGTCAAAGCAAACAAAGACAAAACACTTGACGTATCATAAACTTATTCTCTTTGTGTTGATAGTTGTGTAGTATTACGTAATATTTGCTTATAAATCATCGTTTTATCTCTGCGTCATTGTTGAACCTCACACACACACACACACACACAACATCGCATCTGTGAACTCCGACTCACGCCACAAAATCGCGCCAACACCAAAATCTAGAAAAAATCAACACTACCACCAGCTGATCGTAGTCTCGGCTCTCGGCTCTTTGGTTCGTACCTGCCCAGGTATTGTGTACGCCGGGGATGAACGTGGCCTTAATGTTCTCCAGGTGTACCGTAAGTTACCCAGGTAAAGCCCATACTTTTAACTTTTCAATATCAATTTAAAACGGTTAAGAAACATTACAGGTACAGGTACAGTGATGTTTGACCCTTGATTTAGTTACAATACAAGTACCATGAAGACAATACCACAATCTCACCGTACATAAGGAGGTCGATGTTTACTTGTTTAATCCCGCTATCACAAATCACTTTAACAGCTGAGTCGGCGATTTTGGAGCGGTCACTTTTCATGAATTTGGACCACAAGACAGTTATAGATTGAAGTGCCAAATAAATTTCACTTTGCTTTCGAGAACAACTTTGTGGTTTGCTGAAACAATTATAATGAGAAGTGAGGTTTCCTTTTATTTGCGATTTAATTACCCAAGAGTTCGTGAGCGTACACCGACATCTTGATCTGCTCAGTGCTTGTCCGGTCGGCTCTCGAAGGTCGATTCCAAACATCACACACACACACACACACACACCTTCTCGAAGATAGATAGATAGATATAATAATATAGAAATATAGAAAAGAAGAAACAGAAACAGAAATAGATCGAAAGACAGAGAGACAGGGAGAATACAGAGACAGGAGAAATTAGAGAGAGATATGATAAAGGGAAGGACACTGTACTGGCTTCCTCGTCAGTTGTTGTTGGTCTAAGAAAAGTGATCAACTTGTATATGTGTGTGTGTGTGTGTGTGTGTGTGTTCCTGTTTTTGACCACTATATAGTTAGCTGTGACCAAACAACTGAACTGATTTAATTAATGCGTCCACCTCTCTCTCTCTCTCTCTCTCTCTCCCCCCCCTTCTCCTCCTCCTCCTCCTCCTCGTCCTCCTCACGCACCGTTTACCACACACATTCATGAAGTCTTTCCTTTCCCCCTCCAAAAAAAAATATTATATTAAAGTTGTCTGGAGGAGAATTACGAGACGGTAGCGAGTGTTGTTGTTGTTCTGTTTTTGTCGTTGTTGTTATGCTGTTGTTTTTATCTTGTTATGTTGTTCTTGTTGTTAATGTTTTTGTTGTTAATGTTTTGCTTTTATTTTATGTTTTGTTGTTGTTGTCTTTTTTAAACACAATATATATATCCATCTTTTTGTTGGTGTTTAGAAAAGTACTGTACTACCACCCCTCTCTTTGTTCCTCTTTTGTTGTCACTCTGTTTCTTTGTTTCTGTCTGGCTGTATGTCTATCTTTCTGTTTTTACCTGTCTGTCTGTCTGTCTGTCTCCTAGTGCATTATTACCTGACGCTCTCCCCTCGCTGCCTCCCACAGTGCCATATACTTCCTCTCTCTCTGGGCTGACAGGGAGGACAGAGAGTGACAAGAAGAAGAGCGATTGACAGAGGGGGCAGAGAGTGAGGGGAGACGAAAGGAGGGAGAGAGAGAGAGAGAGGAGGAGAGGAAAGGAGGGAGAGAGAGAGGCGGAGAGGAAAGGAGGGAGAGAGAGAGGAGGAGATGGAAGAAGAGAGTGAGAAGGAGAGGAAAGGAAGGAGAGGATAAGAAAAAAGGTAGAGTGGAGAGAGAGAGTGAGAGAGAGAGAGTGAGAGAGAGAGAGAGAGAGAGAGAGAGAGAGAGAGAGATATATATCAGAATACAAAAATACGAATTTCACCACAAATTTTCGACTTCTCCAGAGTTCACTTAATGTTACTGTTATGTGTTTGTATAAGACGTTAGTCATCACCTCCTCACCTGCTGTACACCTGTAATCAACACGGTAATTAAGATATATAGATACAGGGGCTACTAGGACTGTGGGGTTTATTATGTAGGTGATTATTAACGGTTGTTAGTGTGTGTGTGTTGCTGATATGATTACTCCTATAATTCTTTTGAATACTATGCTTATTGTTATTAATATTACTCTTTTAATTATTATTATTATTATTATTATTATTATTATTATTATTATTATTTTATTATTATTTTTATTATTATTATTATTATTATTATTATTATTATTATTATGATTCATACTTGAATTTAATTATTCTTCGTATTTGTTTGCAATTTCCCGTTTTGTATTTCAACAATAACTCAACTAAACCTGATGACTTAGTCTCAACCCTGGCAGTCTGGTGGTGGGAACAAGGTGTATAAGCCTTGGGAGCGAGAACATGTTATCTGGCACGTGATAATAAACTGTGATTCATTGTACATTATCTCATTAATACGGCTGACGTAGATTATATATTAACTATATGTATTTAGCCCATAGTTATATAATTGTTACTCCCTATATAGTTAACAGAGGCTAATACAGGCTGGTTAATCTTCAGGTAATTTAAGCTGGGGTTAATCTTCAGGTAATTTAAGCTGGGGGTTAATCTTCAGGTAACATAAGCTGGGGGTTAATCTTCAGGTAACATAAGCTGGGGGTTAATCTTCAGGTGACATAAGCTGGGGGTTAATCTTCAGGTGACATAAGCTGGGGGTTAATCTTCAGGTGATCCAGTTTGAATAATTAACCTTTACCTCACCGTAATTGCACTAATGAAGGAGGTGGGAGGAGATCTCATTAGTACGGGACCAATTACCATCAGTGACCACAATAGCCAATAGTGTTAAAAGGCTTAGCCATCACTCCCCCCCCCCTCATGACCCTCGACCAAACAAGAACAAAACAAGGACAAACAAAGACGAAACAAGGACAAACTAAGTACTAGTATAGTATTATTGTGAAAGAGAGAGAAAAAAGAGAGTGAATGGGAGTGAGAAAAAGAAGGAAAGAGAGCAACAAAAGGACAACATTTACAGAGTAAGAAAGAGAGAAAGGTCGAGAAAGGGAGAGAGACAGGGGGGGGGGGCGGGGGCTATAACCTGGCCACAAGTGATAATTATACCATGATGGGAGTCGCTTCCTGTGAGCTAATTGAAAACCTCACTATCACACGACACACTATTTCCATTACTTTATTGTCCAACTACCTAATTGCATTGTTTGGGTGTTGTCCATTAATACTATTTATTTTCCTTTGACTTAAATACCCTAACTAGGTAATTACATTAAAGGTGTGTTTGTTATTGATTAAATTAATTTTCTGTTTCTAACTACTTAATTGCCTTGTTTGTGAGTTATTGATTAACTTTAGTCACCTGTGAGTTAATTACCTAACTAGCCAATTGCATTGTTAACGTGTTTGTGATAAATACCATTCAGGGATCTCTTAGTTATCACCAGACCTATTAACCATCTCTTAATTATCTAACTACCAAACAGCCTTGTTATTCTGCTATTAGAAAACTAACCACCTCCTAATTAGGCCCTACTTAATTGCTTTGTTATCTCAATACCGGCGAAAACTCATACAACCACTCCCCGGTTAATTAGCCACGTAACCATCACTTTGTTAATAAACTAAACTTTCAAATTACCTTTTTAACCAACGAAAATGATCCTAATTCATTCCTTACTTTAGGTACCATCCCCTCACCCTACCCTCACTCCCCTCTTCCTCCACCTTCACTCCCTCCTTCCTCCACCTTCACTCCCCCTTCACCCACCTTCACTCCCCCCTCATCCACTTTCACCCCCCCCTCTTCCACCTTCCCTTCCCCTCATCACCTTCACCCCCCAAGAAAAAACTAAAACATTAAAACCATTTCCCTCAAAATGATAAAGACATTAAACCACAGGATGATAAAAATTAAAACAGAAAAAAACACAAATGAGTAATTGAAAAAAATCTCCATTATTGAGGGTTGCATAATACAGTGTCGCAGTCCTTTTGTCAGGTGATGTTTTTATCTCCAAATTATCTCTGTGGGAGGAGTGATTCACGCAACCAATTTGTGGCTGGTGGTGCTGCAGCGATTACCAAATTTGGTAGCGAATAATTAGGTGTGTGGGGGGCAGAAAAGCTTATATGTGGGGATGGTGTGTGGGGGCGTGTGTGGTGGAGGGGTGTGTGGGGCGTATGTGGTGGAGGGTGTGTGGGGGCGTATATGTGGTGGAGGGTGTGTGGAGGTGTATGTGTGTGGAGGGGTGTGGAGGCGTATGTGTGGTGGAGGGTGTGTGGGGCGTATGTGGGGAGGGTGTGTGGGTATATGTGGGGCAGGGGTGTGTGGGGTGTATATGTGGGGGGTGTGTGGGGGCGTGTATGTGGTGGAGGGTGTGTGGAGCGTGTATGTGGTGGAGGGTGTGTGGGGCGTGTATGTGGGGGAGGGTGTGTGGGGGCGTGTGTGTGGTGGAGGGGTGGGGGGGCGTGTATGTGGTGGAGGGTGTGTGGGAGCGTGTGTGGTGGAGGGGGGTGTGTGGGGCGTATATATGTGGGGAGGGTGTGTGGGGGGTGTATATGTGGGGGAGGGTGTGTGGTGTGTGTGTGTGTGTGTGTGTGTGTGTGTGTGTGTGTGTGTGTGTGTAAACATAATAATTATAAACGGTTTATTAATAGGGTTGCAGCCGGTGGCTGAAATTATACAAACTTGCATGTGATTTAGACATAATAATATGCATTCAATACATTTACAGGGCTGTACAGTACATGAATGAGAAGTTGTTTATTATTTTAACAATAGATGGGATGGTGCTGTTTTTATATCTATCAGTGCGGGCTCTTATGAGCTGAATTTTGTTGTAGTGGTGGACTGCGTGAGGTGGGCGGGGGACCGTCGGTGGCAGGAGGTGGTGATGACGAGGATGGT